TTCTACAGGCGAAGCGAAAAGCCTGGTTTGCGTGGCGAGTATCGAAGAGTCAACCCGAACATGAAGTGTACCTCGAACTCAGGAATCGGTGTAACATACGAGTCCGGAGTGATAGAAGGACATTTCAGAGAAACCTCGCCAATAAGCTTCTCGTGAACCCCAAAAGCCTATACAGGTTTATGTCTGAAAGAAAACCGACCAACCAGGGAGCTTGCAATCTAGTGGGTTCTGATGGGAAATCTCTTACTAGTCTTGAAATGGCAGAGACATTCAGTCTAGCCTTTCACAGGCAACTGAACAGTAATGAGGATTTTACCCCCACAAAACATCAAGATTGCAATGCAAGACCAACGTGCGAAAACCTGCTGGGTACATTTCAAATTACCCCGGCTATGGTACTCGTAAAATTGGGAAAGTTGGCTTCGGGAAAGTCTGCAGGTTGCGATGACATAAGACCATCCGTCCTGAAGCAGTGTTCAGAAAGTCTCTGCCAACCCCTAAGTGATCTGTTTCAACACTCCTTTGATGTAGGGAAACTTCCATGTGAATGGAAACGAGCCATCCTATCCCCTATCTTCAAGGGTGGTGACCGGCAGAACGCGACCAGTTACAGACCAGTTGCGCTACTCCCAGTGATATCGAAGATATTGGAAAGTCTCATTGACGACCACATGAGAAAATACTTCGACGGGACTAACCTACTCCATGAAGCACAGCACGGTTTCAGGAGGGGAAGATCCTGTGTGACGAATCTTCTACTAGCTTGGAACGATTGGACACTATCCTGGGATGTAAAGGTACCAGTCCATGTGATCTTTCTCGACTTTGCGAAAGCATTCGACACAGTTCACCATGGTCTGCTCCTTCACAAAATAAGCAAAGCGGGTGTTTCTGGAGCACTTCTCGCATGGCTGAAAGATTACTTAGGCGAGAGAGAATTCTGCACCAAAGTCAACCGCATCCGATCATCCTGGCACACCTCGGCATCAGGGGTTCCTCAGGGTTCTATCTTAGGGCCGTTGATGTTTTTGATTTTTATCAACGACCTGCCCTGTCAACTGAATTGCTCTGCGCTTCTTTACGCTGACGACGTAAAGATTTGGAGAGCAATAAACTCATCGGAAGACTCCGACAGATTGCAGGCTGACCTGCAAACTCTGGGAGACTGGGCTCTGGCTAACGGAATGCCTTTCAACTTAAAGAAGTGCAAAGTAGTGCAACTTCATTCCGGCAGGTCACAGAGTGCAAATTACACCCTTGGTGGCCAGAACTTGAGTTGTGTGCCATCAGAACGCGATCTAGGCCTTATTTTAACAGAAAAGCTAGACACCAGTGTAAATTACACGAGGGACGTCGCCAAAGCTTACGCCACTTTACACTTTATGCATAGGCAGCTGGGAGCTCTTACTCCTGAACTATTCCTAACGTTGTATACGACATACGTGAGGCCACTCCTTGAGGTGCATAATATCATTGCTCCTCCACTACTCAAAAGGGATGCTAACATGCTAGAAAGTGTCCAGAGACGAGCGACAAAATGGGTGATCGGCCTCCGCAACAAATCATATGAGGAAAGACTGAAGAAATTAAGTCTTTTCACACTTAGTTACCGTAGTCACAGGGGAGACCTCATCACCGTCTATAAGATCTTAAATGACCAGGCCCACCCTAATAAGAGCATCCTGCCATTAAGTGATTATAGGCTTCCACGAGGTAACCCGCTAAGGATAGCACACCAGAGACCAAGGACTCGAGTGCGTTCACATTTCTTCTCGCTTCGAGTTTGCCGTCTCTGGAACGCTTTACCGGCGGCCGTAACTACAGCTCCATCTGTGGAGACTTTTAAGCGGAAGCTGGACAATCATGCAGAAATGCATGGTTTGTGTCTCAATGGCTTACCCTCTTAAAATTTGAAACCACATTGTCAATGGATAAGCATACAAGCTAAATCCCCACGACCCGTCCTGTCTTCTCCCACTGTACCGACTACTCTATCTTTTCTTTCTTTCTTTATTATTTCACCTTTATTATTTCACTTATCTCAACCTATATTATCTACACTACAACCTATTATTATTATTCTACTTTTATGACTTTATTGAATGACTAACGGGTGTTAGGTCAAACCCATTCACGGCAGCAGCTGAGTCCTAACATACTGCACACTACAAACCACAATCTTGACCAATCCTCGCACCACTCCTCTTGGAGTCTACCAGAGCTAAAGCAGTCGAGTGGCGGGATTTACTACGCATAAGTTCACCGAAGATCTGGAACCTCTACCTTACAATCAAGAAGCGAGCTCAAAGAAATCACTGGTTTATACTAGCTCGTAATCAGGATATTGGATATTGGATGCCTATTATTTTTCTTAATTAATGCTAACAATTTCTTCTTATGGCTACTCACTGAAAGTGCCTTTACTGTTAGCTTTATCTGAGTTTTAGTTACTATCCACTTACAACAATATAGTCCCTTTGAAAACCACGATATCTATGGATAAGTGCTTTGTGGATGAATGCAGTCTCATAGTGTAGAGCCCAGCTAGCATTTTCTCCGGGTCCACTGCAGACACTTTGGGGCTCAGGGAAGATAGCGGGACAGTTGTCTGTAGTCTTTCCCAAAGTGTTTGCACTGTACCATAAGTTTCTCAAGATTTACATAAACCGGAAATATTTAACTGTCTGTTGTGAGAAAACAGCATATACCATACAACAATGCTACCGACAGTATTAAAGTTAAATTTCGGTTCTAAAACTTTCACTGTATGCATAAGTTACTGAAATGTGAGATAGCTTCGAAACTGTTTGCAGTGCTCCTGCACCCATAGTCAATGCTAGTTGGGAGACATTGGCGAAGTTAAACTCTCTGGATGGCTGTTATAGTTTGACTTCGCCGATGCATTCTTACTCAAGTGTTGTGATGTCTAATGGACAAAAACTGTGTGCTCTCAACACGGTGGTTATTCGTTCTACACAAAATCTTTTCTCATGTTCGCGACTACTCTTCATACATAAACTCGATTTTAGAGGTTATTAAATTTACATTTGAACCTAGAAACGAACATGAGAAATTCGGTATATTATACTGTCAAGTAAAATGAACAGGAGGGGTTAAAATATGTGTCAGTGTTGATACATTTAGCCTTAAGCCTATCCCATCTGTTATCTGTGAAGATATTCCTGGTTAAGTGTCTGACAAATAAAGCCCAATTAATAAAATGAGACAGTAGAATTTGTGCTGAATAACTACCCCACGAATTTCGTCAGGAATTCCAAAAACGCTCACAATAAAAAATAGCAGTGACACCTGCAATAGGAATGACTCAGTGCCGGTACCGGAGATATGGAAAATATTACCAATAAAATCAAAGGGTAGAAAATAGTGGGATTATATAATCAGAGCTTAAAAGTGACGTGTGTACCTTGATATGATTATAATCAACAGGTTGTGCTCTGAACGTCATCTATAAATAACAGCACTTCTTATTAAATAAAATTCTCTGATGAAACAATAACGTAACCCCCTCTCCTCGAAAATATTTAGTATGTGGCAGCTTAATATTCTTAACAGGTTTAAAGCTACACTACCATTTTTGCAGCAGCTCTGTCGATACCTGCTACCTTAGTGTAGTGGTCGAGCTCTCTCATCGTAGTCGCTGAACAAGCTATACTATCTGAAACAATTATTGGAAACCCTGCATTTACACAAAATCAGTCATCTACCAGATACTTGAAGAAGAAAGCTCCTTCAATATGAACAGTTGATAAGAACGAGCTAATGAAATATTTGCATAAAACATAGGACCCATCTGTTCTTCAATCACCCTTTCCATTATTGTCTTCAAAAGTCTACTGCTTCTTCTCATTGCTAATACTAACATTATTTAGGATACATTACCTTTACTGTGATCAATAATAACAACGTAAGTTTGCCAATTACCTTCCTACCACCTAAAGATGGGCTACAGTACTGATCCCGAACTGAAACTTTCAGTGGACTATATTCCAAATCTGATGGTAAAGCTTTGTAGACAAGACTGAAATCTGCAACTATAAGTTTTCGTTTTATCACGTATACAAGACCCAAGTTAAATTACTTAACTAACATCACTTGGTATATGTAGTGTCTGTAAAACTTTGTTCTAGAAGTTTTAGTAGATACCCTGGTCATCGTGGACTTCCTCGTGCAGGGATAGTAATAGGTTTTACAGTACGAAACTCACTGCTCAACTGGATTCTAGCATTAAATCATGAAGCAGTCTGAAACAATATGCGAAATCAAATATAGAGTAGAAGAGGTGATAACTGTCAATCAGCGGTTGGCAAACGCCAGTGCGTCTCCGTAGTTTCATACGAACTGATGAGATCTAAACATAACGGGAAATCGAATGTTTTTAAAGCGTAAGTTGACTGAAGACATTCGTAGAGGTCACCATCAGTGGTGAGTGATAAAATCTAAAAGAATGAAAAAAAGTATCAGCACTAGATCAAACCCCTTAACTAATTGGACTTATTTCGGAGTAAAACTGGTAAATGTAATGATGTTTGAGAAAGGTGGAACTTCATTAACTTCTCTGGACATTGTTGAAGGTTAGGATGACTGTCTTCAACTGAAAACAAGTAGTGATACTTGGTAGTTTGGCTCAAACAGTGTTTAAGTGTGGCATTAAAGAATTATTGCCCACGCTTGTCTCGTTATGTAAGTGCATTTATGTGATTGTAATTACTCTTTCGTGGAACTTCGTGTCCTGAACTGATACACTCCCCTGCAAAGTTAATTAGTCTGTCGTAACAATATGCATTTATTCACAAGCATTTGTAGTTCCTGATAGTACGGAGTTGTTTTGCTTGATTGTTTTATCGTTTATTGTGCAAGGCTGTGCTCCTAGTTTAAAAGAATGTAAATATTAGCGTTATAATTTCCTCGAGATTTAAAATGATCATCTTTTCATTATTAACTGATAGGTGGTTGTAACCTGTTAGCGCCATTTTATTCAGTCATGAAGAAAAGACCAAAGCTTACTCTGATTTTCGATGAGGAGAAAAGAAAGTATGACGTATACTTACCAAGTTTCAATTTGCTAGGGAATATCTCACTGGATTTCGAAAAAGAAAGCTAGAACGTAAGGAAAAAGGACGTTTAGCAGCAGAAAAGCAGTTAAAGGAAGAAATCAAGGCAGTCAAAGCAAAAGTAAATGGTGACTCAAGTTTTTTTTAAATCTTGTTAGTACAGAGAAGCTGCTCGCCAAAAAATGGAAGGTATCCATTTGCCCGGAATGCTAGATTGTACTGAAAGTGTGCGTTCTTGTCAAAGTGAAATAATCGGCGATCACAACGTTGTTATTCAGGAACTTGATATTTCTAATTGTCATTACTTTATGGGAGCTGCTTGCGAGGTATAATCATAATAAGTTCCATTTATAAGCCATTCAGGAACAGAAATCTGAACCAGTCGATTGTGTTGCAGAGTAAGTTATTCCTTCTGTCGATAATTTACTATTACTTCCAGACCAAAAATGTCGCTTAAGAAAGCACTCAAAATGAATCCAATGAGAAGTAAAAAGCGGTTTCGTCGTGCAAAGAAAAAACCTTGTGCTAAAAATAAACGTCGACACTAGCTATTTTCAAAAATATTCCCTTTATATGTACATTCTTGTATATTAAACAATCCAATGAATATTTTCATACTGTAGTGAATCTTTTAACTATTCTATTCTTAGTACGAACGTTTGTTGAAAATAATGTGTTTATTAACAGTGCTGAACTGCTGTATTATTAACATAAATTGACACTGTAAAATGAAATGGGGATTTCCTATAAATAAGCGAATAGATTAAGTGAAAAGTTGTTAGTATCGAAAACAGTTTTCTTCTACCTCCTGCGTTATGTTATTTTCATTTCAGATAAATAGTGTGGAGTGAAATCTTTGAATGTACTGGGTTCTAACGTTTAGCTCCGTTATATATTTCGGCTCTGATTCTACAAGTTGCGCATAAAATGGTGACATGCCCTGATTGTATACGCAAGGTAGAAGAGGATGGAGAATTTTCTTCTGTGTATACAAATCAGTGTTTTCATCCTAATCTCTAAGGCCTTGGCAATGCAAAGTATACGGCAGCTTACTCTGATTTGTTTATTATAAATGGGTATAAAAGCTAGATGCGCTGCATTGCAAGATTAGTGCATATCGACAGATTTATGACTCAGCAATTATTTTCAAAGTTAGGCTGCCTCCATCGTTTTATTGAGTATATACTTTAATTGGACACTAGTTAGTAATTAGTATCATGCATCTAGTCCTTTGTTTGGTGCAGAGTGAATTCTATCAGTTAAGTTTGCAATGTAGCCACCATGCTAAGGTGGCTCGACATCACAGTACGCTCTGAATTGTTGTTATTGGATGGTTGGCTTCCTACCGATTGTCTCCGGCCATCTAATATTGAGTATGTGTTTGTTATTGTGAACCTATCGTATGAATCTGTGTGTTTAGGTTTAATTAAGCCTAATGCATTTAACTCATTAATGAACTACTCACATGTGGTACTTAATTATACTGATGGTTTCTTTATTTGATTCCAATATAAGAATACTTGTATGCTTGCTGTTTACTTCATAATAAAATATTGTTCATAACTGTGTGGCTTATTTCACTAGTCCCATCTCCTGTTAACTTGTAATGAAAACCAGCTTCAAATTGACCAGGTGTTTGATGTGTAATTTTATCAATACTTTATTTGTTGAGAATATTCACATCAAAATTGCAATAATACTTGATACCGTACAGGTTATCTATATTTTGAATATCAAGGTATTAATTTTCAAGAGTTAGTTTGTAAGGATTTGATCTCTTTCAGGTTCGATCACGGATTGATATCAGTTATAGAATCACTGAAAGCCAGGGAGTACTAGACAGTTGTCTCTTCCTAGTTTCGGATTCTTCGGCAGTACGCACTCACGGGGTTCGAACGCAGCATCTTTCGGTTACAGAGCAAGCCGATAGACCATGCAGCATTTGGGACCCGATTCAGTGGCGTATGAATTTCAACTCCTAGCGATTCGTGATTTTAGCTCTGCCGCCACTCTTGAAAATTGATCTGATGCTTGCCAGTGACTGGTTGTAGGACGTAGTTGCCCGGAATTCTGGCGAAAAATCGCAACCAGCGGGGTCCACCCGGTCGGGTGTGAGGAGAAATAATTGCCGACGACGCTGATCGCGCTAAAATCATGAATTGGTAGAAGTTGGAATTCATGGGCCACTGAACCGGGTCCCAGTGGCTGATTGGTCTACGAGCTTGCCTTGTAATCGTTAGGTCCAGGGTTCGAACCCTGGCGGGAGCGTGCCGCTGAAGAGCCTCAAACTAGGATGAAACGGCTGTCCAGCACTCCATGGCTGGTTTCCTAACATTCCTCTAATTGATGTCAATTCATGATGAAACTTGAATCAAGGTATCAAGAAGAAGAAATGCTGTGTCTGTTGAATATTAAAGGTCATCCTATGATACGATTGTCATTTTAGTTTTTTAAATATTGTAGTATATTTCGTTGTAGTCTGTCTTCCCTTTGGTATGTAATTCAATCATATGCCGTTTTTCTAACGTTTTACTCTATTTTAACAGTTATCCATATCTATGTAATAATGATTGACAAGTTATGAGTAAAGGACTAGCACCGAGTAAAAGTACAGTGTACATAAGCAATCTACCATTCAGTTTAACCAATAATGATATCCATCAAATACTACAACCATATGGTAAGGTTGTCAGGTAAGTCTGCGCATATTTCATAATTTAAGTGAATATTTAGTTTTACTGACTGATGCATGTTATCGCAAATTTACTTGGCTACATGCTGCAGTTTGGATTTATAAGCTTAAAGATCATAAGTCGCGTAGTAAGATGTGTAAAAATATTCTTTATTAAACTGAAGACACACTGAAAATGATTGTACACTTAAGCATTAATATGTAATCATCGCTTGTCAGTTTTAGTTAGTCTCTGTGATATAGTTATTTAATTCCGCTCATATCGACGTTACGTTAGACGGTAAAATTAAACTTGAGCTAAAGAAGAGAATTTTTTGTCAGTTCTCACTGGAGTGTTGTTCTGTAAGGCTTCGGTTAAAGTAGAATTTAGCTACCTAAGAAAACAGTAGTTTATTGTTGTTTTTCCGAGGAAAGTTCTACAGAAACATTAAAAACTTACTAAATGCAGATTGAATTCTGAAAGGCATCTTTAATAGATTTCTACGTCTTACAATTGTCGGCTAAGCACTTCGAAAAAGTATTCAGTTTTTCCTGGAACTCGTTGCACAATTGGTTGTTGTCTATCAATCTAGCCAAAGAGAACGTCAGGAAAGAACTTCAATTTCTAAAGTCTCAAATATGAATAAGTTACTTATTCTGTTTTCTTTCGAAGGAAAGTTGTTACCCAATTTCCACACTTTAATTTATTTAATTAGAAATTGTAGTCTGGAATCACATAGAAAGAACTCTGAGTCGTAAGTGTTAATTGCTTATAACTCAGCTATGTGGAACAAAGTTTTCATATACCAGACTATGAGCCGCGCACATTGTGTTAGCGCTGATCATACTACCCCATTTTAGAGGCAGGATTGGAACCCAATGATCCATTGGCTAAATGTCGAGTGCTAAAGTCGATGAGCTACATTTCCACAAATTTAAGTGTGATTTTGTAACGACAGAAGACAAGGGCCAGGCAACAGATCGTTTATTGAGAAAATCAAGAGATATTTATAGATTTTTATGTACATTATTGTCAGCGGAGAAGCAACGTCTTCTTATTGGTTGTTTCCTTGCTGAAGGTTATTCTGTACTGCTTGTGACCGTTTCTTAGAAAGCCATATATGTGCAAATCGTATTTGCACACGTTAAGTCTGCTGTGATTGGTTGGTGAGTTCCTCAAGGTTAAGCTTTGTTATTGTTTTTCCTCATGACCCCGATTCGGGACGTAAACATTGACGTAAATTGTTGTCTACAATTTTGGCTTGCAGACAGCTCTCACCACAATTTTACAGTGAGATAAGATCCAAAATCTCAAACACTTATATTATTTTTAAAAGAGAACTTTGATCACAACTATGTGTTTATTTTTTTGATTATAGCTTGAAACCACACAGTATTTTTCGTACAAGTATGGAATTTTCAGCATATGATATCGGTAGCCCAAATTTTGCAAGCCGACCATAGATATCAGGTGTGCGTCGGCAGGGGATCGAACCCCGGACCATGTGCATGGTCGGCGAGAGTCCTAACCGCTGAAAGTAAAATATATTATTACTTGGATCTGGTTTTTTATCGCAGAAATAATCAATTTGATGAATGTCAGTCAGTAACAATATTTGTATAAAATGTTTATAAACAATGATAAATCCTGACATCTTGTTCTGGTCATCTTTGAAAGGTGTAGTTTAGGATGATTTCAAACATACCTGTGGTTAAAAAACTTGACTGATTTCCTAAAAGTAAAATGAGCTAGTCAGGTTTATTGTTTAAATCCATCATTTTATCATTTGCGAGTATATTTGGACATTTCGTTGCTTCGTGTCTTTGATTTCTTTTCGGCAATATAAACTGATACACCATTCTGGGACTTCATGTTACTATTTATTGTTTACCTCCACCAAGTAAACGACAATATTTTTCTTCTATTCCTTCACGTTCCCAGTGGAACGTAGGGCTTCAAGCTAGTGGCTTGAAGTTTCTGTAGCAGCGTTTATTTTTACAGGATGAGGTTGCTAGCCACATGCCCAACCTTTCTTCTTTACCAGCTTCTATTTCTGGCTTAGCGAAGTTTGGGAGTTCGTCGGCCGGGGATCGAACCCCGGACCATGTGCATGGTCGGCGAGCGTCCTAACCGCTATGCCACCGACGCCAAACGACAATATTTTAGTGGCGTACAATGTGGTCTTAGTTTCTAAAGTACTTTCAACCCTATTCAGTTATAACTAATAGTAAAATGTATATAAAGAATTCTAAAACATTCTGCAGTTATCAGTTATTATTCAAACTAGTGGTTTCTTGATATGAAAGTTTTTAATACTGCTTTGAATCAATTCACTTATGTAGTATGCACAAATTGAAATGTCTATAGCTGGTATGGTATCAGTCATCTAGTGTATTATTTTGCTTTCCTTTGTGTTATACTTTATTCTGTTATCGTGTTTTTATTAATTTAGGGTAACCGTCGTTAAAGATAAAGAAAGTCGTAAAAGCAAAGGTGTCGCTTTTGTTTTATTCCTGGATAGAAATGATGCTCGTAATTGTGCGGACAAACTGAACAATGCACAGGTGAGTGTATATACATATTATTATTATCATTCCTTTGCGTTCCGAGTGGAACATAGGGCTTCAACAACACATCTCCACTTCGTCCTATCTTCTGCCGTCCTCTTCAGCTGGGTCCACGATTGACCATAATTTTTCATCTCCTCTTCACACGATCTCCATGTCACCCTCTCATTGACGACCTACTCGTCACTTCCCATTTGAATTCCACTCGAGCGATGGCCTGCATTGCGCGCGATGTCATTTGACGGTCTCCTCAATGTATGACCAATTCATCTCCATTTTCTCCTACATATTTGATGAGCGATCGGTTCTCGCCTGTTGGTTTGTTCCCAGCCAGAGTTTCTTGTTACTAATTCTTTCTGGTCGGCCATTTGATCTTCAGTATGGGGCCAGTGAAGGGGGCAGCTGTTGATCAAAGTCTGAAGTGACCTGTTGGAAATCCTTTTCGTGACACGCAGTACAAGTTTCTGACCTGTATAGGAGGCCCGACTTTATCGATTTTTTGTTAGTGATATGGAAGTAGTATTTTTATAATGGATTTGAAAATTTGTCTTCTTGTGACAAATCGTAAATTTATAGCCAGAGTGTCGTAAAGGCAAGAGAGACTTTCATTAATCCGAAATCAATGTGGAAATCTACTGCACTCGGCATAATGAACAAGATTCAGATCCTCAACAGTAATGTCAGGTCAATCAGTGCCTGTATTATAGTTCAGAGGCTTGAAGAGTCACAAAAATATTTCCAGCAGGCTGCAGACTTTCATCAACAGCTGTCTTCGTTCGATACTGAAGATCGCATGGTCAGGAAGGATTAGCAAAGGAACTCTGGCAACAAACT